ACGGTCTGTCATGTTCCTCAGGGCAACACTGACTGGTTCTGCTTTGCACTGCAGCTAGGTGTCTCTGCTACACTGTGAAGAATGCAGTCCCAGATTTTGTGTTTGCATTCTGGTCCGTCCAGTTTTGGTTTTAGCCAGTTGCAGAGTTAAGCTGGTAACTGATGAATGAATGATACAGGAATGAAGTATGTGTTGACGGACCATCTGTTGGTACCTTTTCTAGGCCAGTGACTTCACTGACATCACCAACTGGCCCACTCCTGGAGAGCTGTGCCAACAAACCACACCTAAGGAGAAAGTGGAGAAAGACAAGGAGGTGGCAACTGCTATGGTAGGTGATATTGTCAATCAAAATTTACATTGCGAGTTCATGCCCGAGGGCTAATTGCAAATGATAGGAATAGGACAGACAATGATGAAGCACTTAACATGTGACTGTTCTTGTCTAAAAGCTGGCTCTAAATTGTAACTTTTTTTGGGGGGGCAGTGGAAAATGAAAGAGCCCACTTTTTCTGTAATTAGCAATCCTGCAAAACCTGATATTTACTCCTAGGAAAAGTAATGTTGTGTTTTCTGTTCCTGAAAAAAATGAATGTTGGAATACTGGAACACTGGTGGAATCTTGAGTATGAAATTATGCTTTGTAAAAGTATGGTTGAACCTTAGCTTTTGCCTTCCATGCAGTGGTACTGTATGGCTTGAAATGTTGAAATACCATATTACCCAGTAGTACCCACCCATGAAGGACCAGTGTAGCCATGCAATGTTTTGAGTCTTGCACAGCGATTAATGGTTTCACACACCAGTGAGTTGACTAATAAGTTACCAGGTAGGACAGCTTAACATGTACAAAAACCCCTAGGGAAACATCAGTAGTAGTCTAGAAGGGGATTCTCAGAAGAGACCTAAAAATGAGCCCACTTTGTACACAATTTGGTCAGTATCATAGAATCATACCTTGTGTCCTGATTAGAGCTGTGTACCTAAACAAATTTTAGGTACAGGTACAGGTACAGGTACACAGGTTTAGGTACAGGTCCGGACCTGAACCTGTACCTGAACAATTCGACCAATTTATATGCTCTTCTGAACTCCTTCAATAACAAAAAAACATAAATAAACTTGATAGTTAAGGTTTATTCTTTGTTTATGGCGAATGCTCAGATAAAATATAGGCTATATATATGTTTTTGTTTTCATGAACACACTGTCCTTACACAGGGACCCATTGTTAACCAGCTATTTACACATTTGAGGTCACAAATAGGCATAAAATTGGAGTGAAATTGTTTAGGTACAGTACCGGTACTGAGGGATTAGGTATTTTGGACCTGTACCTAATCAATTTTACCGGTACAGTATCGGTACTGCGTACCGGTACACAGCTCTAGTCCTGATCATTTTAAGGTACGACGAAAAGTAGTTAGGTCTAGGTGGGGCAAATTTATTCTGTGGCCTTTATGCATATTAGGCAAAGATACCCAAAATAGAAAAGAAGCAGCTTAACACACCTTTATCATTAGTTTATGGTCCTAATACATTTCAGTTTTACATCCTTTTACACAGTTCACCCAAAATCTGAAAAAGAAATTGAAAAAAAAAAGAAAAAGAATCCCTACCTAGCTACCCTAAAATTTGCCAGCACTGTAACTGAAAGTGCAACATGTTTTTCCAAGGTGCTACCACCAGCTCCTACCTAACTCATTTTTAAATTGTTTCTTAGTCAACTTGAATAAGTCGGAGCTTGTTGTACTAAGTAGAACATTTGTAACCCTCTGTAGAAGTCTCCTGTATCAAAGAAGCCAGAGAAGGACAACACCAGTGACGACTCACTGAAGGAGAACAAACACAACGGCACCGCAGACGACAATCCTGACATCAGGACGCCGCCAAAACGGAAAGGTAGCGTCCCTTACCTCTCCTACAGAATGGACCAGTCCAGACCTAGAGGTTGAAAGTTCTTTGGGTAACACCATTATGATAATGGGGAACTGCTTCCAAAGACAGGAATTGTTACCTTCCATGGCCATGGAGTTGACCACTTTTAGTGAAGGGACTAAGCTGCAATATTTTGGCACTTGCAAATAGATTCTCGGCCAATATAAATTCTCGGCCAATATAAATTTAGGGGCTGGTGGACTGGTTGAACGGTCACGGAACGAGAAAAAACCAGTGGGATTGTTTACATGGTGCTGTATTGATCCAGAATGCTGCATGATGGCAAAAATCTAGAAGAAAAAAGCTCTAGTCAAGGTAAGGTGAGATGAGGAAGTTCTAAAACTCCATGGAACAATGATCCCATCGTCTGCATTATGACCAATATTGGTTTGGTGTGACATGTTCACTTAAGGGGGCATTGTCTGCAGACATACATATATACAATGTGGTGAAATTGTCTGAAAGAGTGATATCCCCTCTCAAATTCATACCAGGCAAAATTTTTATATTGCTCTTTGTAGTTGCACAGTTGTGAAAGTCAGCAATCCCCAGTCTTTGGATATACAATGTACCTGTTCAATGAAACATAAGGGATATAGTCTTAAGACTAATTGTACTCAAGGGAAACAAGCTGTTACCAAGTGGCTAGTCTTTCAAAATTTTGCTTGTCTAGTATAACGTTGCTATTCTAAATTTCTTGTGAGTTTTTAAAATGTTGAAGGGAAAAATTTAGTACATGTTCTTGTATGATAGGGTGAATTGCTATGTATTTGTGACAAATAAGTTGAAAATATTCCAAGGTCCATGTTTCACGTGAGGATCTCGGGAACATGAACAGCTGTCCTTCCTGACAGAAGGATTGAATAGGCAGTTCTTAAACAGTTGGAGCACTATAAATGGCTCGCAGTGCGAGGAAGTGTGTCATTGAACCATCCAGCCACGCCCACCTCCTCTCTTCCTAGCAAATGTTTGTTCGAAAATACCGACAGTGGCTGTTGCCACGTGGTTGGTAAAGTGTGGGGTTCCTTCTTCACCCAGCAGGGATACAGCTTAAACAGGGATTGTAGTTGTGTTTCTCTAGTTGATTGTCTTTATGATTAAGTGTATAAGTTGTGGACACTATGAAGGGTAAGATAAATTTGATATAGGTGTGAAAATTACTGTATTTCAAAGATCTTCATAACAGCTTCAAACAGTAATTTAATGCATTGGTAACTTAAGATTATACATAACATATGACCTGTTAAGACGTGATCTTTTATCTTGATTTTAAAAAACTATAATGCAAGAATAATGTATTTTTTTAAGTAGCATGGTGCTTTAGTAATCTGTAGTTAATGATTATATGTTAGTGATTATATGTTAATGATTATATGTTAATGATTATATGTTGATGATTATATGTGGTCTGTTTGCACCGTGAAGGAAACAAACAGAAGTGGACCCCCCTGCCGCTGGAGGAGCCCAAGAATGAGTCTAGGATATCCAAAGCCCGCCGAGCCCGCGAGCGAGAGAAGGAGAGAGACGACAGCGAGTCTGGGCGCAGCCGAGAGCGACCGTCACGGGGAGGGCGGGATCGCAAAAAGGACAAGGACGGCGGGCGAAGGGACATCAGTCCTGACAGAGGTGAAACACAGTCCTGCCTGCTTCTGGAACTAATCTGTAAATTTTGCACTTTCGTGTTGATGTTTTCTCTGTTGTACTAGAGTATAAAACCAAAAAAGAAAATCATCAGTGGTTGTGCAAAATGGCGATGAAAAATATATTCGTTGATGACAATGCAAAAATTGATGTGTGTAGAAAAAGGTGAGAAGGAAAAAACTACTGGCACATAATTTATACAGGTCTGAAAAGAAAATGCTGAGCATCCATTTGTTTCCCCATTGCTGCTTGTGACTATGAATCCCATGTTTAAACCTAGTCTGAAAGGTATTCAAATTCCAGGCAAAATCTAATTGTCTGGCCAGGGTGAACATTGACATGTTTCAATGCATAAATCTGAAAGGGATTTTTTTAAGTATATGACCATACGTCATTAGATTAGAAGATGATGTCATTGGAGCGATTTTCATAAATATTTTTTAGCGCTGGAAATAGCCCAGGCAAATAACACACCCGGTATGAAATTATTCATGACATGTTTTCCAAGGAGAAAGATTTAAGGTGAAACGTTGCAGGCAGTCATGTTTACCAGTTTCTGCTGCCTGGTTGTCGCTCCAAGTTT